TGGGTTTCATAGATCTAGTAAATCATTTTCAGGAATATATAAAACTTATTAAAGTAAACACTAAAAGTAAGCAGTCTCAATACAAAACTAGAAAGGAAGAAAAGAAACCTAGAAAATGGATTAGGAGGGTAAAGGTCTAGTTTTTAATTTTAACTGGAAAAATCATAGAAAATTAGATTTATAAAACTATATAGAAATTTTACCAACTTATTTCTTGCATCTGATTGCATTATTGTGTTTTCAAGAAACATCATTTTCAAATTAACCTCCATTAAATCTCAAAGTATCCACTTGTTTTCAGTGACTTCATAGCTTTTCATGTCCTCCATTTTTTGTGTTTGAGTGTTGTAAACTATGATGAATTGGAAAAGATTGATTTCACTGCACATTAGATATTACTTGACTAAAAAAATTATATGTAATTAGGATGTTTAATGTAGCTGTTTTCAAATGGTTGGTAGATGTAGTTCCCTTCATCAGAATGATTAAACTTGCTTCTTCAGAAAAAAAGATGTAGAGAGACGGCGACATGAACTACAAAAGCTACTCCCAGAAATAATCCAGAAGAATTTTCCTAATTTAGCAAAAGGTAAAGATACTCAGATGTATGAAGCATTCAGGACCCCAGCCACCTACAACCCAAACAGAGCTACACCCAGGCATATAATAATCAAAATACCAGAAATCCAATATAAGAACAGAATATTAAAAGCTGTCAGAGACAAGAAACAGATCACTTACAAGGTACACCCATCAGAATTACAGCAGATTTCTCGGCACAAACCATCAAATCATGAAGAGCGTGGGGGGAAATAGTTCAAGCTTTGAAAGATAATAACCTCCAGCCAAGATTGAAATGTCCTGCACAACTATCCCTGGAAATTGATGGAAAAACAAGGTGCTTCCAGGATAAAGAGGAACTAGGGGAATATGCAACCACCAATCCAACTTTACAGAGAATACTGCAGGATATTCTAAAAAAGGAAAATACCAAGATTCCAGAAATAGTGGCAGAGAGGCCACAATGAATGGAGCAGAAAGCGAAATGAAGGAGACAAACTGACAACAAATGACAGAAAAAGAGCTCAACAGAAATGAGGCAGAGAAGACTGGATGATAAGAACAGCTATTTTGGAGAAAATGACATCATAATAGGTAATGCTGATTTAATATCATCTTGTTTTGAAGTCTCATCAAGCTTTTGCTCTTCTGTCTCCATTGGTCTTAGCATGTTGTATCTTATTGGATTTTATTATATGTGATAGTATAAACAAAAACCTTTATAGACAAGGAGATTATACAGAAACCGTTGTTCATTTTCTGTTAGTTGATTCTAAATACCCTGTAATACTGTCATTCTCTTGAATGGTTTTACATTGTTTAGATATATTTGATGCTATAGTATATGAAGTTATACTCAAAGATTTCAAGGAAAGAGACAATATGGTAACTACATTTATGTCAGGATTATCTTGTGGTAAAACACTATTTTGCTTAAATGGTTATGTTTTTTTCTGTGCTGTTTTGTTGTTATGCCCTCTTTTATCTCAATCTCCATTTTATTATTTACTTTTTTATTTTTATCCTTTTAATTAAGGGAAAAATAAACTAAAAAATAGCAGGATATATTATAGTAATCCACTTTGATTTACTATTAACTTGATTTGAAGCCCTGTATTGCTCTCACCATCTTGTTTTGACTGATGTTCCTCTATTCTGTTTTGCTTGATAGTACGAGGTTCGAAAGTATAGGCAACAACTATGAAGATAGTGGGATTCATTATGACGCCCATTCTGGTTGACTATTATCTACTTTTGAAGACCTGTAATGTCTCCAATGTTTTGGTTTTGTTTGTTTCGTTCTTTACTATTTTGTTCAATTTTATTATAACTGATGATATAGGCAATTCTATTAGAGATAGCGGGAGGCATTATGGTAACCATTGTTGATCACCTTGTATTATGTTTTTGCATTATCTATTATGTCCACCCTTTTGATTTGACTGACTCTCTTTTATGTCACATTTGGTTTTACTCTCTTCCGAAAAAAGTAATAAGAACTGTGGGAGCAATAAAATGTGTAAACAGTCGTACAAAGGAGAGGAAAAGAAAGTGCTCTAAACGATATAACTGCATGTATATTTAAGTGTATAAGATAGACAATGATATTACTGAGTTTTGTTGGATCATTGAACAGAACTATTTGGTCTCACTGTTTGAATGTCCACTATATAAGCTTTAATTTTGTAACTTGAACAAATATTTCTAAGATGACAATATGTAATTCATTAGTGATTTCCTACTGTTTATTATTTTTCTGAAATTCTGTATAACTTGTACCCTTTCTTTGCTTTTTTTTTTCTTTTTCTCCTTAAATAAAATTTTAAAAAAAGATGTAGAAATGATCTGTTCATATCAAAACAGTGTCAGAGGTCCTACAGTGTTCTCATTATGAACACATGCAAGCTAAATGTCACTGTTTCATTATTTATCAGCCCGGTCAAAGACAAGGAAAAGTACTATTATATGACCCGTGGCAACAGGACAAACTGGAGATTCCACTTTTGTATCCAGAAACTTACCATCTTCAGGATCCTCAGGGATTTGAAGATACATGACCCATCTGGCCACTAAATGTGTTTCTTTCATGTGATGGCAAAGCTATTATCTTGGGAACTCATGGTCCCAGAATTTCCCAAAAAGACAACATGGAGTAAAATCTACCAATTCAGTGGTTTCCCTTATCTTATTCTCATTTTCTCATTTCTAAGGACGTGGCTTAGAATATAGAAGACTCAACCCCTTGCTCATTATTGTGACATTCTGCCCATTCCCCATACTTCTCTAGTCTGGAAAAAACATTTCTCCTTTTTCCTTCTCTATACTCATTAGGTATACCTGACTTCTGTACAACATATAATCTCCACACTGCTAAGAAACACTAGGAACTAAACAGGTCTACCTCAAAATCTGATATAGAAATCAAGGGAAGCCAAGTGATAAAGGGTGAAAACAGACAGCATAATTTCTTTAACATATCAAAATATCATTTCTTTTTGTATAACAAATACAACAGATACAACATTTCCTTGTGAATATATAAGACTTCCCAGGAAACTTCAATAAAAGCTTAAGTGCTTTGATATAATTGCATACTGTATTTTAAGTAAGTTATTTTGCCCTCAAAATTTTAGCAGAAGAGACAAAAAGCATAAACATTCTGGCATATCTTGTTTGACTGCAGAATTTCAAGTTTCTCATTTATCACTGTAAAGCAAAGACAATTTTATGACTTTTCTGTATGAGCTGCAACAATCAGCTACATACGTAGCTGTACATCACTCTTAAAAAAAGATTCTTCAATATTTTTCCCTTTAAGTCAAGCGCCTTGTTTCTTCAATAAACTTCTTGTTCAAAATGAAAAACTATAAAATAATAAAACCTTGTTTATTTAGCAATATTTTAGTTTTCAAGCAGGTTTAAAATGTGGCCTTTTGAAAACTAAGTGTGAGGTTATATGTTTTTCTTCTTAATTTTAAATTCCTTTAATAAAAACCTTACAAATAGTTCCAGAAAAAAAGTCTACTGACAGTTTTAGTAAAAAGTGCTTTTCATGTTGCATTAGTAAATTTCAGTACTTTAAATTTTATGTTTTTAAAACTGATTTGAATTATTTTTAATACCATTAACTGATATTTTAGGAGGCCAAAGTAATATAAATAAGTTAATGTATTTTGTAAAACTATTTGTTCAGTATAGACAATATTTTATCAGCACAGAAGTCAGAAATGATAAAATTGTTGAATTATACCACAAAATCCTTGTTATTAGACACATAGATCAAATACAGAAACACACTTAAACATTTATGTATTTAAAATGGAGAATTTATTCAGCTTTGATGAGGTCAGTAGTTAAGGAAATTAATGGTATTGAATAAATAGTATTCAAAAGAAAAAAGAGAACTGTAATCTCGGGAGAACTGCACAAGAAAGTACCAGGCTTAGTAAAGTAGCAGAATAAGTGATGACAAAGTCATGGATAAGAAAATTTACTGTGATTTTTTTGAGAAAGTGAAGATGAGACGAGGCAGGGGCACTGGATGAAGGATTGTTCCATGTGAAACAAGCCCAGGGCTTTGGTATGTAGAAATTCTCTAATTGCTGGCCCTGGATTGTAGGAAAGCAGGAAGATATTATTTCAATCTGTGTGAGCTGAATAAAGGGCATAGTTCACCATACAGGATTTGGATTTTTTGGTTTGCATATATTTCCATGACAGTCATTTGGTATTGTAGGAAGTAAGTATCTCTTCAAGGAGCAGTATTTCCAGGATTATTATATGTGTGATTACTGGGAAAGGATAGATAATCATAACGTTAGCTAACTCCTATGTGACATATAATAAAATCAAGTAATACATATAAGTTACATAATAAATATATTATAATGCTTTATGCATTTAATAATATGTAATGTTTCATTACACATTCACAGGGTTATAATTACTCCATTTTAAGACCAACGGCTTCCTTCCATTTGTATTTTATTCAAATACACTGTTTGCCAGTTTCCATCATTGTGACAAAATATTTACGTTAAAAATGTAGTTAAAAATTAGAGTCTTACATCAGTTGATAGCATCAAAGATTTCAGTCCATTTTCAATTGGCTCTGTTGATATGGGGCTGTGGTGGTGCAATACACCTTGGAAAAACATGTGGCAGAGAGGTATGTTCAGTTCATGGCATCTAGAAAGCAAAGAGAAAAAGTGGAGGGTTTTATTCACATATCCCCTTTAAGGCACTTCTGCTAATATCTAACTTCTGATGTCACCATTTAAAGTTACAGGGCGTCCTAAGTCACAGCCTTTAATGCATGAGCCATTGAGGGACATTTAAGATATAAACTAAAGCATACACTATAAAAATATTTTAAAATGGCTTCTTATGTTGAATTATATATATATATATATATATATATATATATATATATATATATAACATATATGTTGTCCATATGCTTTAAAGTTTATATACATTATGGAATAAAAAATCTAGCTAATTAGCTAGATTTCATTTCATTTCATTATCATTTTTGTGATGAGAACATGATCAATTCAATTGTATTTGTTTCATATGGAATTGAGTAGACAAAATTCAGAAATAAAGTGAGTAGTCATTACAAAAGTGTACTTTTTCTGAGTGAAAAAATGTAAAATGATTGTATTTGAGCACACCAGGCATAATAATTTTGTACTTTAAATAGGTAGTATTTAACATTTTGCTCACTAGGAAGCATTTAGGAGTCCTTACAAAGTTCAGAATTAGGTGAAATTGCAGACACAGTACTATTGATATTTCAAAAGCTCAAGAAACCATTTTGATATTAAACTACAATTAGAATTTTCATTATAAGACACTTTTTTGATTATAAGACACAATAAAATCATTAAATCAGTACAATAGAAATCATTAAATCAGTAAGAAATCAGTACAATAAAAATCATTAAAAATAAAATTTTCCATTAATGAAAGTTGAAATAATAATATAGTTCTAACTGAGGGCTCAAATATATTTCTATATATAGCCCTATAATTAAAATGCTGAGGTATTCTTCTGCTTTCTGAAACAGAGGATTCCAAGTTCTAATTAGGATAACAGTAATTAAATTATTGATTCAAAATCTTTGTGTATTCATGCCTTAATTGTCATTTTTTAAACTTGAACTTTAAGCCAATTGACAATGTTTATGAAAAGTTTCATTTTACTAATTTTATTGCAATGTAAATACAGGAAAAAAGTAATACATTATTACAATAATCATCAAAAGGTTAACTCATTAATTAAAAATACTAACAATCCTTACTCTAGCTTCAATTGATTTTCAAACATTTCTTCCACAAAAAACTTTTCATTATGCACTGTGATATAGCCAATGATTTGTGTATAAACATTGAAAGAAATGAGTGCTAGAGGTTCAGTATGAAAATTAACGGTATGTGAACAGTGGAGGTGGTCATTTATAAGTGTCCTTCAGATGGCTCCTGGGAGCATCACCAATTACTCTTCTTCCTCCTCTTCCTCTTCCTCCTCTTCCACAGCAGGGCCAGCAGAGCCCCCTGAGTATGGAAAGCCAGCAGGCCGGAACTCAAACAGGGTCATGGTGACCCGTTGCCACCCCACAGTGCTGCGCATGGTGCTGGAGGCCCTACAGGCAGGAGAGCAGCGCCGGGGCACCTCAGTGGCAGCCATCAAGCTCTACATCCTGCACAAGTACCCCAAAGTCGATGTCACCCGCTTCAAGTACCTACTGAAGCAGGCCCTTGCCACAGGCATGAGCCGTGGCCTCCTTGCCAGGCCCATCAACTCCAAGGCCAGGGGTGCCACTGGCAGCTTCAAGCTTGTCCCCAAGCATCAGAAGAAGCCGCAGTGCAGCAGGAAAAGTACTCGGACAGGGCCTGCTGGCTCCAGCAAGAAAAAGATTGCAGAACCATGTGAAGCAAGAGCTTCCTGCACAGGGCAAAGCCCTAGAGACAGCCCCTCAGGGAGGCTGCAAGGCAAAAGGCACTGGGCCACAGCAGGTTGTAGCCAAGAAGGACCCCCCCAAAGTCAGCTGGGGCTTCCTCAACTGTCCACAAGCTTGGCAGGAAGCCCAAGGTCTCAGGCAGCAGAGCAGGCAAGAAGACAGGAGACCCTGGGAAAACTTCAACTGCAGCCTCCAAGGCTGGAAAATGTGCTGCCTCCCTGAAGGGTACAAAACCCACAGTGAAGGCCGCCCCAGGGCCTGGACCCAAAGTCATTGCTGCCCACAAAGCCGCCACTGCTTCCAAGGCTGGTGCCCCCAGGACCAGGACTCTGTCTCCAGCCAGGAAGGCTGGGGGCCCCAAGAACCCCAGGCCACTGGTCAAGAGGTCATCGTTATTGTACTCAGAGCTCAGCAGCTATAGGCCGGTGGGACTGTGGGTGGCTGGGCTGGAGTTTTTATTCCTCCAAATCGTTGCACTACTAATTTAACCCTAACTTATTTCTCAAATCATGACCTAGTTATCAATAGACACTGATGTATCACCAAAAAAAAAGAAAATTAACATTACAAAAGTCACACATGCTAACTTAAAATAATAAAATAAATTTGGAAGTACACATATAAGACTGTATTAACATGCTCAGATTCCAAATATTTTTCATACAAATTTTGATAAGTTTGACATGTAAAATAGGAGTGCTGCTATCTCATATTTCAACTTATTTTTCCTCCACAATAGTGATCGTGGATTTTAAATCACATGCTAAGTCTAATCTATTAATACCACCTGACAAATAAGCTGAATCAATATCACTACCGTTTTGTGACCCACAGTGAATTGATCTGCAACTGATAACTCCCTGACTTTTGTGGCTCAGAATGATGCAATTCCCCCATGAATTTTTCATTCATTCATACCAAAATGCAACACAATACTTCCTATATTCCACTAAATGAGAAACTTAGATTCAACATTCTATTCTAACAATCAGAAAAAAAAAATAACTGAAGGAAGTGGACAAGCTCTATCTGTTACCAGATTGAGAACTGTAAAAGAAGTGAAAGCACAGGACAACGAATTTGTCCTCAGCATACTTAGAGAGCCAGGTGAATACAGACAACCCAGTGAGTTACTTCAGGATCCTACAAATGTGGCCAAATGTCAGGGTAAGAAACTGTGAATTGAAGTTGAAGAATTTTTGGAAGTTCAGTGTCATTCTGAGAATTAAAATACGCAATGAGATTTAGCCACAATACTTTTGTGTTTTATCTAAACAAGTCTCACCTGGTTCCTATAGTAAATACAAGAGAGAAACTCTATTGTAGATTTAAAGATAGAAAAAGAATTATTTTGACCAGCATTTTCTGTACCCAACAAAGTTTTCTCAGTATAAATTATTTTACAAAAACTGAACTGCTTGGGTTTTTTCAAAGCTTTACTGATATGACATAAACAAAATATCTCCCTCCAATCTTCCACGTGACAAAAGAAAAATACTGACCCTTGCTTTTGTTTTTATTCTAGCCATTTTATTTCACTTCATGAATCCATGGTGGTGGTTAAGGACTTATGTAATGTAAAGGTTACATGCATAGCTTCACCAAAAGATAAGCGAGATATAAGACTGTAAAGTGTTTTCCTTCCTGCCCCTGCCTATAAGCCATTCAGAGTGCAGGTGGGGAGAGCTGAGATGGAAGCAAAGGCCCTGCCTGTGAGCCAGCTGGTGCATGGGGTGGGGTGAGGAGTACAGCTTCCCCTATGAGCAGCAAGCTGACTCGGAGGCACTGTTGTTTGACTGACTTAGCAAGCCTAAACCAAGCAACTATTTACAGGACAACAGTATGTAATATAGTAACTGTGGTACATTTCCTACTATCTTATCACTGTTTAGATGCATTTTATTGCTGTTTTATTCCCCTTAAATTTAAAGATAAGGAAAAACTGAAGGAATTAGTGGGATCCAAAATGTACAATAGATATTGTGAAGGTGAAAGGGGAGGAAATGTCTAAAAAGGGAAGGTGGTAGCTATAGTTAATTTCCTATTAACTTGTTTTGAAGTTCTGCATCATTTTCATTGTTTGGTTTGGTTTCGTTTTATTCTGTTTGTTTTGTTAGATTCTATTGTGTCAGGTTGTATGGGAAATTATTTCTATGATAAAAAGATATATTATGGTAGCCATTGTTCATCTCCTATTCTCTTGTTTTGAAGTCCTGTATCACTGTATTGTGTTTTTTGATTGCTTTTATTCTGTTGTTTTGCTTGATATTATTGTCTTATTGTATGTACAGATATTTTAAAGATAATATGAGATATTATGATAGTCGTTGATTATCTATTACCTTGTTTTGAAAGTCTGTATTGCTTTCATGGTTTTGTTTTGATTGGCTTTATTCTGTTTTATTTTGTTTTGCTTTGTTCTCTTTAAAGTAAAACCTTAAAAATCTCTCATTCATTAACATCTTGTTACTACATTGTCAAAGCCTTATTTTCAGTACTTCACACGTTAAAAGGTAAAATCACAGTTAGGAAGACAGAGTCAGACTCAGAAATAAGAGAGTCATTAGTATGATTAGAAAAGCAACGTAAGTCACTTACGATTAATGTGCAATAGGCTATACTGGATAAAGAAAACAATACACAGGACTAGGTGATCAGTGAAAAATGCAGTGAGTATGCTAAGACACAGCAAACAAGAAACATAAGACACTGAAAAACACTGTGATAGAAGCAATGTTCATTTGGTCTTAACTGGTAGACTGGAAATTGATGAGAAGAAAAATTTTTAAGCTTCAGGATATTTCAATATTAACTTCCCCAGTTAAAAGCAAGCAGAAAATAAACTAGAAAACATAACTTGAAATAAAGTAACAACGTTATTCAGTTAAACATAAAAGTTATAAATGTGCATAATATGAAAAGATGAGAAACATAAGAAATATAATAAACAGACAAAGACTGAAAATTCTCCCCAGTTAATATTGATATCAAGGGGCTGGGGATTTAGCTCAGCAGCGTAAGTGCCTGGCTTGCAAGCAGGCAGTTCTGACTTCAATCACTGGTACCTATAAAAACAGAAAAAGACCAAAAAAGAATATTGATATCAGGCCAGAGATTATGAAGCTCAAAGAACTCTAGTATGGATAAGTGCCAAAGAGAACTGTATTCAGAAATGTTACTTTTGAACTGTAGAAAACTAAAAATAAATATTTTGAAAGAAATCAGAATAAAAATGCAGAGACACAAACAGAAACACCATATTCAACTACTTAAAAATAGTCTAAAAGAAAATAGTAGACTAAAATTTTCAGATGTTTCTAAGATAAAAAGATCTGGAATTCGGTACCATGAAAAATTATCCTTCAAAAATAATGGAGAAATGTACACTTTCTCAGATAAAAAGAAATTGAAGTGTTTTCATTAGAAGATCTATCTTAAATTTCAAAGTTCTTTAGATAGAAGAAAATGATACACACAAGAATTTGACATAGCAAAGTAACAGCACTGGAGAAAGCAGTGAATGTAAAACTAAAATGGTAAAGAAAGTATAACTGTTATACTAAGAAATAAAGTGTAAAAAATAAATTCAATACAGACAGTAAAAGATGCACTAAGAATGAAAGACAAAAATAGGAAAAAAGAAAAATACACAATGCATAGATGAGAGGAAGACTATAGTAGATATTGCTATTATATCAACAAAAATATGAGTGTCAATAATTTAAAAGAACCATTAGAAAATAACAATCATCAGAGGGAATTAAAAATAAGACTCATTTATATTTATTAGAAACTCTTTAAATATTGAGTCTAAGTGTATTAAAAAGTATATCTGTTATGTTATCCCTAATCAAAAGAGGACATAGCTTTGTTACCTTCAGACAATTTGATTTGAGAACAAGAAGATCATCAAGGACAAGCAGGAGCACCACATAGTGATAATGGTTCAAATCTCAAACTATGTGTAATAATCTTTAACCTCTTACCCTCCAAAACAATCTAAGGCAAAAGCAGACAGAATTACACAGGAAAAATTGACTTATTATAATATATTTTGACTTATACTATCTTATAACAGTGGGAAGATACAACAATCAAGAAAAAATTAAAACTCTTTGAATCAAAGAGTTTTTCCTTTGAAAGAATAAATAAAATAGATAATTTATAGACAGATTTTAAATGAAAAAGAAAGAAAAGTCTTGCAGATAGAAACAAAAGGTAAAAATACAACACTGTCAAAATCCAGATGACACTAACTAGTTAGAAAAATTATATTTCAACAAATTAGCAAATTTTAAAGAAGTAGTATTAGTTATAGATACCCAGACACATGCAAACTATGAAAACTGACCCAAGAATACATGATCATATTTAATAACCCAGTAACAAGCAATGAAATAGACACCATAATAAATAATCTATGAAACAAAATGTCGAAGACCTACTGGCTTCATGGTTGAGATACTAAAAAATCTTTAATCACATTGTGTCACTAATACTCTTCAAAATCTTCAATGATATGGAAAGACATTAATTGTTCCCAAATTCACTTATGGAAATTAATATCACACCAATCTCAAAGCTGCACAAAGACCAAATGAAAAAAGAAAACCATAGGTCAGCGTCCTTAATGAACATAGATGCAGTAAAACTCAGTAAGGTATTAACAAGTAGGATGCAGCACATTATCAAAAAGATTATAGATTGTGATCAAGCAGTTTTCATCCCAGAGATGCATGGATAGTTCAACATACATAACTTAGTAAATGTTAGTACATCACATAAAGAGAAGTAAAGTAAAAAACCATATGATCATATAAGTAGATGTAGAAGAGGCTTTCAGTAATATACAAAATGGCTTCACGATGAAAAAAAAAGCTTGAAGAAAATAGGTATACGGTAACCATTCCTAAACATGATAAAAGCTATTTATGACACACTAACAGCCAGGATCTTGTTAAATGGGGAAAACCAAAACTATTCCTCCAAAAATCAGGAAGAAGACTGTTATGTTTATTACCACCACTTCTACTGAACATAGTACTTGACACTTTTTCAGGCATGAGAAACAAAGCGTATACATACAGGGAAAGAAAACTTCAAATTAGCATTATTTGCAGATGACATGATACTCTGCATACAAGTATTTATGATACTCTACATACAAAACCCAAAGAATCTCACCAAAAAAGCTCTTAGAATTAATAATTAACTTCAGCAATGTAGCAGGATATTGATCAACATACAAAAATCATTAACATTTGTATTTACCAATAAAGAATTTGGTGAGAAGGAAGTTATGAAAGAATTCCATTCACATTAGCTTCAAGAAAAATGATATACCTAAGAATTAATGTAACCATGGATGAAAGAACTCTACAAATAAAAATTCAGTCCCCTGAAAAAGGAGACAGAACAGGACACCAGGATGCAAAGATGTCCCCTGCTGTTGGATAGGCAGCACCAGTATTGTTAAAATAGTCATACTTTCTAAATTGTCATACAAATTCAGTGCCAACAGCATACTTTACAGACCGACATAAAAGAGTCTGAAATTCATATGGAACCATGTTGGGAATATAGCTCACTGACACAGCTCCTGCCTGGCAAGCATGAGGTTATGACTTTGATTCCTGGTATAATAAATAAATAAATAAGGGACCAGATGATACCCAGAGTAGCAATAACAATTCTGGGAAACAAGAGCAAGCAACAGGCCTTGTGATGCCTGATTTAGGGCAATACCACAAAGCAGTAGTGGAAAAGGTCACACAGTAATGGAACAAGAACAGCTTCATAGATCAATAGACCAGAAAACAGGATGCAGAAACATCCCTATGAAGACATGGATGTTTAGAAAGGATTTTCTAAACAGCTTCAGTGGCATATGAAATAAAAGCAACAATCAAGAAGTAGGAATATATCACACTAAAAAGCTTCTGTACAGCAAAAGAATAAAGTGGAGAGACAACTTACAGAATAGCATAAAACTTTTTGCCAGCTATTACCAGACCCAGGCCTGTAAAATGAATTTAAAAAAATTAAGCCACCTAAAATTAAAAATCCAGTCAAGAAATGGGCAACACAAATCAACAAATGTCACAGAGAAACAAAGACAAATCCTCAACAAATATATGAAAAAATGTTCAACATCTCTATCCATTAGAGGTATGCATTTTAAAACAATGTTGATTCCATCTTATCTGGAAAGAATGACAGTCATTAAGAAATCTACAATAGCAAACTCTGGTGAGGCTGTGGGGAAAATAAAACTTTCTTTGTGGTTGGTAGGAATGTAAACTAGGACAGCCATTATGGAAATCAGTGTAGAGACATACCAATAAACTGAAACTAGAAATTCCATATGACACACTTGTATCACTGGTGGTGTCAATATATAAATATACCAGTATTTATTGGTATATATTGGTCTTTGGGTCATATATACCACTATTTATAGCAGGACAATTGGACATGTGGTATCCATATATACTGGAATACTCTTGCTTGGCTATAAATATTAACATTTGTAGGAAAACATTGGTATACCTGGAAACATAATATTAAATAAAATACATGAGACACACAAGCTTAAATATCATATTGTACCTTACGGGGAAATGAGAATTATAACACATGCAGGGCTGAGCATGGCCTGCGCATGACTGCCCCAAGAACAAAGAGCAGTGGGGCAAGTCACGTAAGAAGATGCTTCAGCCCAAAATAACACCAAGCATCCAGAGAACTCAAGCCATGGGTTGCTAGTCAAAGAGGTGCCACGTGGCACTGTGTTGTTGAATGTATAAATAAATGCCCTGCAATGAAGGATAAGTTCCTTTTCTCCCATCAGGAGAGAGAGGTCTCCCCTGACCCCAACTTTCAGCTCTGCTTTATTTCTCTCATCCTTGCCTGGTCCTTCACCCTGCGAACCTTAGGAGACATGTGGGGGATGCCAGGAGCTGTCGTTGTTTGAGTAAGGGGACAACGTATAAAAAAGAAAATAATAAACGATGGATAGAAGAGGACAAGAGGATGAATCTGTTACAGTAGGGAAGTGGTCCAAAGGAACAGGGGTGAGGGGTGAAAAGGAGCAGAAGAGGAAATAAAGAAGCTATTTCATATATAGGAGCCTATAACCTCAATCAATATAACATTATATTCTATAACATGATCTAAGATTAATAATCTCAACAAGAATGAAAACTGAGACAGGGGAATTACCAGAGAAGGAGGGAAAGGGATGAGGGGATTGAAATGAAACAGAAACAAGCTCTAGTATGCACATTTACCCACTCCCCAAGATGAGCATAAGCTACATATACTGCATGCATATGTTGATAATATTTTTAAAAATTTAAATACATAAAAGCTTTTAAAAAAGAAATGAAACTTTAGATAAACTTCACATTACCAATTTATTGGATATAATTGACATATTTAGACTACTTCAACCAACAGCAGTAGAATATGAAAATATCTGTATCTACATATTTGTATCTACAAATCTGAATCTATATCTACATGTTTTAAGCTCCTATGGAATTTTACAAACCCACCTGCATTTTTGGTGATACGACATAAGTTAATAACCTTTGAAGGGTATACTCACACACACTGGGCTATCACAACACAATGGAATTAACATCCATAAAATGAATAGTTTAAAGAAGAATTGTTAAATATTTCAAGTATTTTGTTCTTAATGAAAATGAAATCTCATAGCTTTGCTGAAAATAGTACTCTTGAATGTGTTATTTTCTTTCTGAACTTGTAATATGTCAGTTCATTCTTTCCTAAGGTATACAGCCTTTGATACAAAGTGTAATTTAGTCTAAATGGAGATCCTTTAAATGTGACTTGATGTTTTTCTCTTCAGGTTTCAGAATTCTTTATCCTTTTGATACTTTGACTATAATATGCAGAGTGAAGGCTCTTCTCTGGTGAGGTCTGTGTGGGCCTGCTCTGCCTGAGTGTGCACGTCATCCGTAAGGTTGACGTTATTCAGCTATTACTGAAAGTGTCTTGTGTACTTTTTTCTTCAAGGGCTCATAAAATGTGAATATCTGTTTATTATTTATCCAAAATGTCTCTAAGCTGTCTTTATCCTCTCTTACTATCTTTTTCCCTCTCCTCTTCTCTCCTTCCCTCCTTTCCCTTCTCCCATTCCTTCCATCTTTCTTTCTGTGTTTATTGGTATATTTGATATGCACAATGGTTACACTCATCTTGGGAGCTGGGACATGTAAGTAGCACATTTTAATTATCTACACTTCTGCTTGCCCTTCTCTCCTTTAGCTTGTTAGGGCCAACGCCGCAGGGAAAGAGACCCCAAGGACTCAACTCTTGGTGAGGGAAAAAAGTTTATTACCATGCGCATGGGGTCCCCCAGGCAAACAAGTGCGGAGGGCCCCGATGGAGAATTGTGTAGGGTTTTTAAGGGCGCAAACGGGAGGCAAGCAAGTTTACAAAAGCAGATTGCATTGGTTAATTTTGAGCAGGATAGGACTTGGCAGAAGTTGATTGGAGGGGTTTGGGGTTGAGTAACCATGGAGACTGGGGGTCCTAGCCCAGTCACTATGTGCCCAGAACAGAACAGTTACTTGTCTTACTTATCTCGTTGAGACAGAACAACCTTGCAGGTGCATTTTTTCTTTTTTTTTTCTCTGCTCTGATAGCTCTGGGGAGTTAGGCATTTCTTTCTGCTCTGCTCTGATAGCTCTGGGGAGTTAGGGAGTTAACCCTTTTATTCCCCGCTCTGGGGAGTTAGGGAGTGAAACATTCTTTGCTGCTTTGTATAACTCGGGGAGGGGGTTATAGCAGGGGTTCAACTCTCACAAGCTCACCTCCATCTCCACTTTTTCCTTTTTGTATTTAAAAATCCTGTGTTCCTATTGCATATTGCTTATCTTTAATTTTGCTCTTTGAAATTTTATGTTTTGAATTTCCTATATGAAAGAAACCATGTGGTATAAATTTTTCTTTTTTCTTTCTGACTAGGATATTTTTAAAAACTGCCTTTGAGTTCAGAGTTACTTCTTGTCTGCTCTACTCTGTGGAAAGGTTTTGACTGCATTTTTTATTTTACTTATTTCCACCTTGATTCCAAACACTTGTTTGACTCTATCAAGATCTCTGTCTTGTGCTGAATTTCTCATTCATATCATACATAATTTTTCTAATTTCATTCAAATTTGTATGTTTTCAATGCTGTATATTTCAGTTTCTTTACAACTGTTCATTTTAAACATTTTTTGGTACTCAAAATTGAACTCAGGACCTTGTCAGTTTTTGACATTCTATGTTAGGAATTTTGTTGATATTCTTTTCTTTGATCTCTTTTTCTAAGTAGAGTTTTCTAAATAATTGTATTCTTTTTGGTATCATTGTACCTTGTTACTTTTTTTATACTTATTGTGCTCCAGTGTGGATATTTGTATATCAATTGGAACAGTTATCTTTACTTGTTTTATGATGGGGCTTAGTAAATCGTAAATTGTTTTTTTTTTTTTTTGAAGATATGTCTTGAGATGGAGAATTTGCATATAATGTTGACTTTGTATACAGTTGATCACCAATGTGTGGTCTCCTTGTACCTTTGGCTTTTGGTTTAGTTCATGTTATAGTACTGTAGAAACTCCATATCTCTGGGGATCAGGCAAGAAATATTGATGAGCAAAGTGGTATGATGCTCTTCCTGTGTCAACTTAACAAGGTAGGTAACGGCAATGGGAAAATAGACATTCTCTCAGGCACTGGCTTGTGTTGTGCATCTGGCATTCCTTACAGTGAGAAGGATTCAGAAGCACCCAATCTTAGTCCAGGTGGTGGCACACAAATGCAGTGGGGAGATGGATTAGTGGACAGGCTCAGAGCCCCGTTGGAGTGTTCTCAGTCCTGGTGGTGGCACAAGCCTCATGGAGGGAGGAGATATGGAAGCAGGCAAATGTCCTTCTACACTCTTCGCAGTCAGGGCCAGGGATTATGCACAGCTGTGCATTGTTGTAAGAAAATTTGTGGTACTGAGCAGCCACCTACTGTCACTCTGGGAGGCAGACAATGACTTACAAAGCTGCTCATAGCTTAGGGTGCAGAAAACAAGAACCATGGACTTTTAGTTCTCCACAGTGACACCTTTTGTTACCTCTGTGATGAAACATTCGTCTTCTGTAAAGCAGCGATTGGCACTTTTGGATACTGGGATCACGGTTGCCATGCCGGGTCAAGATGGTTTTGTGAAAGTCAGGCCCATTTGCTAGTGTGGGGGAATGCAGTGAGGTCTAAGGAATGGTGGAATAGGTATGATTCCAAGCAGCAGTGTGATGTACATTTGGAGAAAAGCTCAGTTTTCAATATGGCACCCACCATCAGTGGCCTAGGCTCTGAAAATCTGCTGAGATATAGTATGGGTTCCTTCTTCACAGCACAGGTGCTATGCAATTCCAAGTGGCTCCCTTAAATTGATTGCAAACTTGTCCAATCTGTGAAATTTTTCTTTATGATGATCTAAGTTTGTTCTCATGGAGTTTGCAATGACTCGGATGTTTATACTTTACTTTGCAAAAGAGAGTCCTCATCCAGTTTGGGAGCCAATATCAAAGTTCCCAGAACATCTGTTGCTTCTGTGTTACTTAAATCTCCAAGGCTATAACTTGTTGAGTTCAAGCATTTGCCTATGATCACACATCTCAAAATGTAACCATTTTCCTGGTGCTTTGCTTCCTTTTCATGGAGGAGGACATGAATTCTTGATGCCTTATTCAACCATCCTGAAACCCTAAAGCTCCTCACTTCTTTTTTATAGCCACACGTCTTCTACATAATATTTAGAGACTGAAGAAGTCAGTTTCTCCACAGCATCTGTCTACATATATGGTGGGTATTCATCCTACACATCTTCCCATCAAATGGTTTGTATTGTAATTACTGGTTATCTTTCTTTCTGAAATACTAAGTTTTAAGTTTTAACAAGTTTTGTGTTTTTAATTATGTGATCCTCAAACTAACACTGTCTGGCATAAAAATGGTATTTATAAAAATATTATTATGTAAAGAAAAAAGAAAGGAGGAAAAAAAGAGGAGGAAGTGAGAAGAGGGTGGAATGAGATAACAGAGAAAAGGATATTTAAGTATAATTAATCAATTTCTGACTTTATATATATGATTTGTAAAGTTACACGACAGTGCTCTTAAAGTAGTAAAATTTAGAATAGTCTCAAGTGAAGATGGTTAGATCTCAGTGTAAGTACTACAAGGAAGCCTGATGTTGAGATAAACTTTCAATTTCAGAATGCAGGCCAGAATTGACAAGAAATACAAATTCTGTCTTTCATATTGTTTTTTTTTTTTTGTTTGTTTTGTTTTTTTTAGCCTGGCTAAAAGACATCTGTCATGTGTGAGCTGGCCAAATGATATCAACACATGCTCTTTTCAAAAAGGAATAGATAGCCAGAGTGGGTCTTGTTGTATGACCTAGGCAACATTTTGTGAAATTCCTACTTTTTTGTCTTTAGATTGGCCAGTCTCCATCACTCTGTGAGTCAGAGGAAGATATGTCGCTGGATTGCTACACTGCCTGGCTTCACATTGTATTCTGTCAGGTGTCTTTATCCTTCATTTTTAAACATCTCTGCTAAGAGAATAATGAAAAATAACACAAATAATGCCATATCAGATATTCTTCCATAAACTTGCTACTTTAGACAACCACCTCAAATTTGGACAACAACTCCAATTTGACATAGATCTCAAGATGATAGGGTTATTCAGACAAATAATTTTCAGGTTCTATTTTTTATAATCTTTGGTTGGAGAAAACTTTTTACAAAAAAGAGAATTAGTTAAATGGAAGAAGAATGTTTCATAAAGGAAACTTCTATTCTTTTTCTAGAAAGATAACTGCAGTATTTGATACTTTGTGGTCACCACCTGTCAGAAGTTACCTTAAATATATTGTAAATTCTATAGAAAAAAGGAGAAAAAGATCCTTTTGGAAAGTATGAAACAACAAGAGAATCTGCTAGCCGAGAGTCTTTTACTTACTCTCTATGGAAAACAAAAGCATTTGTTCACAAAAAAAGAAATATCCAAAAAACGTGGCCTCAATTTCATTCTCATGTTACAGAAGTTGATATAACATGTAATCTACTTTGGTTTTATAACTTGTTGCCATATGTTTGTGTATTTTGTACAGGGTAGGTATAATTTTTGAGCAACTGTTGGATATACTCTTGTAAATTTAGGTCTTGGACTTTAAAAGTCTAATCAATTTAGAGATCATGTTTACTCAGGTTTCCAATCTTTCATAACCTAAGATAAGATAATCTCCTCCTAGAATGAAACCATTTAAAAGCAAATGGAATGCAAATTGAATGCTTTGATTAAAGCTGGAAAACCTATGATTATTTCAATAAATCAAGAAAAGTAACACAGTATTCTACATTTATTTTTGTGAAATCTGAATAAAGCTGCATCTCATGCATTTATTTCAGAAAGTGTTAGTATCAATAAAATGTAATTATCTGAATATACATATATAGTATTCTGTAATTTCCAGTAAATTTAAATTATAAACTGAGAAACAGTATTTATTTTTGTGGATGTGTTCAGAGAAATTTCAAAATAATTAATTGAGCCAGGCATGGTGGCACATGCCTGTAATCCCAGCAATGGAGAGGCAGAAACAAAAGAATTACAATGAGTCCAAGGCTAGCATGGGGTATGTAATGAATTCAAAACTAACCTGAACTATATACAAAGTATGACCTTACCTCAAAAGAATTGAAAATATAATGAAATTTGGAAAAATCACAGCTCTTCACCTTAAAGAACAGAGATTGGTATTATGGTCAGATGCCATCAGTGGAGGAAGACACTTAGCTTGCTTGATAAATGTGTAAGTATATTTTTTCCAATCTTTGTGAGACAGGCCACAGGGCCCAATATTTGTGAGAAGGATCATATAGTACACTTAAAGAATGCAAATATCCAGATATGTTAAGAGTTCAGAAATCCATAATACTCTACCTAAGACAATACTACTAACATGTTTACACTTTTGCTGTAGAGATATATGGAGATCAGGTGA